CCCTGGGACTCTGGGCGGGAGTATATGAGCACCCCCCACCCCCCCACATTCGCACAGGCCAGATAGGAACCGTGGGCAGAACAGCCAGGACGACAGGCGCTGCCAACAGGGGACAGCTCCAGGGGCCTTCCCGGACCGCTGCCCGCTGGAAGTGCACCATGTACTGGGGAGAGGGGCTTCCACTCACACTGTGGCCACACCGTGAGGTAGACGCCATTATCCCTTTTGTTCATATGAAAAATCAAGGCCTGCAGAAATGTCCCTACCTGAACACACCACCTGGGTGTACGTCGGGAGGTCACACTGCTCTAGGACGTTTAGGTCGATCTTGCAGGTGAAGATGCTGAACTCTGTTCCCTCGCAGGTCACAAACTTCTGCCCCTGGTTCCCGGGGCCCCCTCTGCCGTGGGCTCTAGACCACTGCAAAGCGGAGCCACACCCCAGCTCTCTGCAGAAGACGTTGGCCTCTTCCTTATGCAAGTCACACCTCAGGACATTGCCAGCCGGGTTCACCGCCTCGGGGATCCCGGCACAGGGGCTGCCACCCTGGCCCAGCCTGATTTGCTGAAAGGTACCATCTGCTGGCACAGAGGAGAAACCTAGTCCTCGGAGCCCTCACCCTTGGCACAAGTGCAGGGACTAAGCTCTGGTAGCCCCGGCCTGACTGGCATCCACGGTGCCCCTCGCAGCTTTACCCATCCTGTGCCCGAGGTGCTGGAGCCACGCCTCCCAGGACTGCTGGCTCCCAGCACAGCACGGAGAGTGGCCACCGCGGGAGCCCAGGTCAGGGGCACCTGCCATGAGCACACAGGTAATTGCACTGTGATGAAGCTGCGCTTTCTACACAGCTAGAGTGTGTGGGGACCCCACAGAGTTTCCTGAGGTGGCCCTGATGGTGGAGGGGAGCTCAAGGAAAAGTGGTCGGTGGCTGCGATTAGAAACCTGGAGACCAACATTGACATAAACGGGAAGGGGGTCCAGGCTGGGAGACAGGAAAGGGAGCGAGAGCCGATTCTCCAAAAGACAGACAAGGAAAACCGCCTCACCTTGTCCTACAGCAAAAGGGACCCCTGAGGAGCCCGGAGGGGCACTCACATCAGAGCCAGACCCTCCCTCCTGCCCTGGGGCTTGCCTCGTGGCCTCCGGAGCCCTAACAGAGGATGGGGGTCCCAGGGGGGAGAGGGGATCAGGGTCCCAGTCTGACCTACCTGAGCAGGTTATCACCACCACGCAGTGGCACTCACAGCTGCTCAGTGGCTCCCAGGCACCCAGGGAGCACTCCCAGAGTGAAGCCTCCTCGCCCTGGCACTGGGCTCCACGCAGCCAGGTCGGCCCCATCTCATGGGGCCTCAGAACGTACTTGGAGGTTGATAGTGCAGAGCCACAGTCCAGCTGTCTGCAGGTCACGGACGCCTCTCCCATGCCCCAGCGGTCCCCGCACACAGGGCCCTGCCGGCCCAGGTGCTGCACCTGCAGGAGGCCCTCGCAGTGGTTTCCACCCCCCAGGAGACTCAGGGACTCCTCCCCAGCCAGGCCTTCAGGGACAAGAACACAGGATGGAGAAAGAAGATGCAGGAAATTTCACTCAGAATTTTCAAGGATTAGAAAGTTTTGCCTCGTTTTTAATCCAAACTCCCACTGTTACTCAAATTTCCATACGGCTAATACTCTGCATTTTGATGGCATCAAAATGGTTTCTTCAAAGTGAAAGTTAGCAAAAATGTGCACAAAGAAGTCAGGTAACTAGAAGCCAGGTGTCCTGTGTTGTGTAATCCCCACCCTTCCTCCCAAAAAACGTCCTGCACTCCGGGGGGCTCTGATCCCCAGGACCCTATAGACGGCAGCGCACACTCACCAGGAGGGAGGGTCCAGCAGGCCAGGAGCAGGGGCCACAGCCCCAGCGGGGACAACGCCAGGCCTGGTCGCATCTGCTGCGGCGGTGCACCCGGCTGGCCGTCTTGGGGCAGGCACGAGCAGCTCTGCCTGGAGCAGGAGGTGGCCTCCGACTCGACGTGACACTTTCTGAGAAGGAAGCCAGTCAGTGCCCTCACCGCCTCCCCCATATCACAGCCGCCATCTGTCACCCGTGCCTGAGCCCAGACGGTGCCAGCAGCGTGTGTGTGGCGAGGCCGGGCCGGGCTTCCTGCAGCTGGTGCCTGACGCAGCCCCAGGTGTGAGACGGACCGACCAGGAGCCCGGGCTCAGCCAGGCTCCGAGGGCCGCGGTGCTGGGACCAGGGCCGGCAGGA